TATTACATAAGTATTTATGTGAAAAAATAATATATTACCATTGTTTGTTGTTTTAGACCTATACGAATCAGTGTTTGAACTGTTTGATTTAATTGATTAGAGAAATTTTAGGTATTAGGTAGTCAGCAATGCCAAAACGATTTCGATAATTTTAATTATTTTCAATTAATCTTGTGTTCAATTTCGTTACTATTAACTAAAAATATATTAACATTATGCGCACGAAACCTTAATATTTATAATCGTGAACTATAGACGTAAATAAATCTTCGTTACTCTTCGGACTACCTTTCTTTAAAATAAAAAATTTCAATCATTGTAATCAGACAGAAGGAAGTAACGCTTTAAAGAGGTATAAATGGAATTCTAATAATTCGAATTATTTTCAACCAATGAGGAAAATGAGGACTTTAAAAATTATAGTATCCATTACAGCTTTTGAGCTTTACTTTTGTAAAACCTTACAGTATTCGTTTTACTTATAAAATGAAGAAGACATCCCTAGCAGATTTATCATCGCACATTGCCATTAAAAATGATAATGGAAAGATTGAGGGATCTACAAAAGTGTAGATATGACAAAGAGAAATAAAGATAAATGAAAAACGAAAAAGTTGTAATAGATGTACAGACGTTAGAATATTGAAGAATATATAATTGGTCAAAAATTCAGTTTTGATGTTAAAAAACTAATAGAGAAGAAAGAAGTAAGTTACACATTAATATTCATTATTTTACGTTGTTAGATTTAAAATTAACAACAACAACAACAACAACAAATTAATAAATGAAGGAACGAAAATTTTTTATCATAAAATGTAATTCTATTCTAGGCGATTTTTAATTCTAACGACCGAGAATAATATAAAACCAAATTTATATTTAAAAAATAATATTTTGATTTTCCAATAAATTTCTTATATAACAATAGGCTGGAAAAAAGATAAATAAAAACTATAATACTTTAATAATTGTAATTCAATCACGAAATAAAAAGTTCGTTATAACAACTTGAGAATTATTCTGTATTTTTTTATGATTAATTTTTCATAAAACGTTCTTTCAATTATTATAAATAATTATAATTATATTTCTGCTGCATTATTTATAGGACACTTAAACTTAATGTAACGCAATGAAAATATTCATATATTCATTAGTAATTACTAAAAATATTTACATTTAAGCAAAGACAAGAATATATGTAAAAAAAAACCATTCAATTTATAACATTTTTTACTACACAAATTATTCAACCACATTTTAACGTTCCAACACTTATTACAACTTTAATTACTTAATCACCCTATTCATTTAAGTAAAACTAACTCAATAACTATTTTTCGTGAATATTGCGAACAAGATGTTATAATTCTTGATTGTTCTCCAATAGTTCGACAAGTTATTACTGCTCTTGAGAATCCAATAGAAAAATATTTAATTTAATTACAGAACTGCTAGTAATATAATTCTTACAACATTTAACTACTTTTGGAACAATGATTTTTTGTCTCATTCTTTACATTACAGTGAATATGAAATATTTCAAAAGTTAATATTATATGCCGTTGGCGCTTGTTTCTTATCTTCTATTTAATATATTTACAAATATATATAAAAAAGATGTTAAAGTTTGTCATTTAATATATTAAAATTGAATTGTTTTATTTAATGTTTATATTTTTTTATTGCATTTTTATTGTATTTTAAATGAATTTATAAAAGTAATTTATAATAAAAATTTTGTTTAAATTGAAATTGGCAAAGAATTAACATACGGAAAAATTTTTTATTTCCGTATACGTTTTACTTCATTGGCGTTTTTTAAATTACTTGTCTTAAAATAAATGTACAATAGGGTTAAAAATTAATTTCTTATGTAAACAGTATATAGATTTTAAAGAATTTCAATAAAAATGTTTAATTTTTTTTTAGTTTCTTGACAGATAAAATTACAAATTCTAAAATTATTAAAAATCTTTATTTTTTTCAATTTATATTCATTGTGTTTCAGCTGAACAGATCATGTAGAATGTAATTATTCTATAAGAGAGAAACGGTTATATAACGATTATAAAAAGTTAAATATGGTTTTTAGTTTTTCTCTAATTTTCATACATATTGTATTTAATTTAATAAAAAATCTGTATAAATCCAATAATGCATGAATTCTAATTCATTGACCTTTGTATATTTTTTTAAGATATCAATAAAATACAAATTACTAAGTAAATACACATCATCGTATTAAATTTAATTTTTACGCCGCTAAATTACACCGAAAAAAACTAAATACTTCATTCACTTTGTAGAAGTAAAAATATTTTGTCCGCATATATGTATATATATATATATATATATATATATATATATATATATATACACATACATACTTATAACCGAACGTGCAATTAAAGTTAATAAGTGTATTAAATAAAATAAAATTTTTTTTAATTCTTTTTCTTTAAACTCTTCAAAGAAAAATAATACTTTTAAAATTAAGGATGTATTACTTTATTACATATCATACATTTTGTCTTACACATACATTATATCTTATATAATTATTATTAAATAAATAATTTAATATAAGATAAATAATATTATAAGTTGAACGTACGTAAAATTATACATTTGAATGTTAATAAGAACCATTTATAATAGTATGTAGAAGTCTCTGATAATACTTTTTATACTTTTGGATTAGTTACTAATGAATAAATATTACAGTAGATATAATATTCCAATATTAACAGAACAAAAATATAAACATAATGGTAATAAGACATCAATGATAATTAATTAGTTAAGTAACTAGCCGTTACTAACGTATTGATGACATTCGATAAGTTTCGAAGCAAAACAGTCGTCGATACAATTCGGATTGCAAATGATCAGAAGTACACAGGATTTATAGTATCCAATTAGAGTATCGAAAACTGTCGAATGACTACTGTAAAGATTCCTATGTAATTGATTATTCAACAAAATAGCGAAGAGAAAGCGTGTAAATAATGTTTTATTATATTTCGAAATATGCAGCGACCATTTTCTAATTTGCCGTTTAATTAATTTAATTTAGTTGCAAGATACCACAAGTTGACCGAAATAAAAATTATTATGGAATTGGCCAATATCGCAGGAGGTGAAAATAAAGTCGAAAATGTCACAATGAAACCTTACAGGGAAAGATTTTTCTAGTTCCACGCCTAACTCATCACCGTGAACAAAAAAGTTTGTTTCCGTTGATAAATGAATGAAATGATTTTATAAAATAACATTTTATAAACTTTGAATACAGCGTTAAATTAGCTTAAAGCTACGTATGTGGATGCGTAACATAGCAACAAACCAAACAAGTCTTGAATAGCATGCAAATGGTGCGTTAAAGTTCCATTCGCAATACGTAGACACGTGCACGGACTAATTAAAACTAACGGTAAAGTAATGGAAATTAAATGGACGTATACAGAAAAACTACATTATTTTTACGATATTAAGAATTGAATTTGAAAAAGTAAAAATTAATTACGATAACTACAGAACTCTTGGGTTATCCAATTGTTTAGTTTTTATGGAAATGTATATTAATCTCATTTGATAGCGTTAATGTTCTCGGAATGCATCGATGGTTAAAATAAATTCATTTTATATTATTTAGAAAATTTTTGTGTTTTTTTTTTTTTTTTGATTTGATAACTTGTTGCGTTGGACCTTTAATCCTTTTTCATTGACAACAATGAAACAAAAACTATAGAATTTAATTTATTTTAATTGTTAAAAATCAATTATTATTGTAGTTGTATATTTTTGAAGTAGAGACATAAAAAAACATTACCTTAATTCGCTCTTATGGTCGTTTTATTGTTCGATATCACTTGATTTTCATTTTTATCGCTACATCTGTATATAACACATAAAAAATTCTGAGATAAAAATCATTACATTATTATTGATCTAGAATATATATGTATTCAATTAAACTATATTAAATATCTGATTTGTTAATGTTTTTTCTAATTAACAATTAATTATTTATGTAAAGAAAAAAAATCCTATTTAAAAAATTTTCTTTTCACAGTTGATTTGACAAAATTATGACTCATTGTAACATTTTAAAAACTAGTATATGTCTCCATCGTATATATATATATGTATATATATATATATATATATATATATATATATATGTATGTATGTATGTATGTATTTGCTCATGCATACGTTTCTAGATAATCTCACACTATTATTTCTGAAAACTGTAGTTTTTTTAGTTCCATCTATCTATAATATTTTTTGCAAATGTATTTGAACATATTTGTTCTGAAATCATAAATATCATTAAATAATCCAACATTTATTACACCCTTAATTACATAATCGCTCCATTAATTCAAGTGAAACTAACTCAATAACCATTTCCCATTGGAGTTTGGATGGAGATTGTTCTCCAATAGTTCGACAAGTTATTACTGCTCTTGAGAATCCAATAGAAAAATATTTAATTTAATTACAGAACTGCTAGTAATATAATTCTTACAACATTTAACTACTTTTGGAACAATGATTTTTTGTCTCATTCTCATGCCGTTGGCGCTTGTTTCTTATCTACTATTTAATATAAACGATTTTATTAATTTCTCAACATAAAGATGAACAGATTTTTCAAGTCTGACGTTTTGCATGTTATAATTATAGGACTCACTTTTTCAATATATTTCTCCCTATAAAATGCATTTGCGGAGTTAAATTAATTATTTTCGACAAATTATTAATATTAGCAAATGCACAAATATACAAATATAAAAAAAAATACTTTTGAATTTATTTCTATATTAAGTATTTGATATAATTATCTTTTATTTCACTGTTATTATGTAGAATATTTTTAAGTAACCGAGTAGCCAATATAATTCATAAATTGAAAAGTACCTTTTCAATTTTTGTATTATTCTTAAATAATAGATAATAGAAATTTATTATATATACTTTATTTCTTTAAAAACGTGTATAAAATAGTATGTACTTAGTAATTTAGTAATAAATCATTGTACACATTCAAATAGCGAATTCCACATTTTCCATTTTTGATCATCAGCATTTTCACCACATGTAAGATTATCACCAATTTCGTAACAATTTTTTGTTCTTTTTTCTAGAGGAAGCCATTTTGTTGTAATAAGCTCATCGATATCTGGTGTTGGATCACTAAAATAGCAAACATAAAATATAAATAAATAATTTGTATAAAACAAACTTATAATTAACAAAATTTATGTCATCGACGAACCCGGTTTTAGCGAAATTAGTCCACATAGTTGTCATACGTTCCATGGTTCTACGATCGTTTTTATTTGATAATTTTCCTGTTTTCTTTTCGGAATAAAATAGGCAACCCATCTCATCACCATGACATGTACCTAAAATCAAATATTTATGAAATAATTCTCCAAAAAATTGAATGGCGACTAATATATATATATATATATATATATATATATATATATATATGTTTGTACTCATTTAATTTATATGAAAAATAAAAATTTCATTTTATTATTTGCTTGGATATTTTTACCTTCGACTTTTATATTCAATTTTTGCTTCATTCCTGGATAATTCGGTCGATACGAGAATTTATAAAAATATGTTGGGGAAGCGTGTTGCATTTGATTATCAAGTACTTCGTGAATATTATTTACAAAATATAAATCTCCGAGAAATTGTACTAATTCGTCTATTTTCTTTTCCGTTATTTCATCTCTACCGAAATAAAATTCACGAATAATTTGAATAACTTTCAATACATGTTCCGTAGCATTTAAATCAAAATACGTCATAATCATCTTTTCAAATTTATCATTAATTTGTTTAATACGTTCTGGGAAATTATGAACAAGCAACATAATTCCTTCGTGACTATTATATCCAATTATCATAGGTACAACGATGGGCCTTTTTCTCATTTCACTATGTGAGAATGGAAAGAGCGGATTAACCATTTCATTGTCCGTAGTTGGTATTTGTGAAAGTATGAAATTCGATAGTTCCTAAATATTAACAGAATTATTATTCTCACTTAATAATAATAAAAATTAGCGCTCCTTACCTTTTGATTGGTAGCTTCATATTTTTCTATCAATTCGTCAGCTGATATTGTTTGCAAAAATTCAATAACTTCCAGAGGAGAGGAACACTCTTTACCAAGTTCTTTAGCTAAAGAATAACCGTATTCTTTATTGGATACCTTAAACGCCCAAGGGTTAAACAAAACACCGCTTTGTGTAATTGCCTTATTAAAGAGACCTACAACATAGTCAAAATAATAGTGTTTTTTTTTTTTTTATCTTGCATTGATTATTCCGTTAGATATAGTTTTTCTTCTTTAACGTTAAAATAGAAATGAAATACATTGCAAATCTTTGAGTACTTCTCATTTAATAAAACTAATTATAATCATAACAATTTACGTCATATATTAAAATATTATTATGTGAATGTATGTGTAATGAATGGGTGTTATTAATTTTCGTTAACCTTTTGCTAATGGGGATATGCAAAGTCCGTGAACCAAAGCTCCACCAGCGCTTTCACCAAATATAGTTACGTTATTGGAATCGCCACCAAAGGCATTAATATTGCTTTGAATCCACTTTAAAGCAGCTATTAGATCTTGTAATCCCTGATTTCCTTCGCACTCTTCGTGCTCCATATTTAAGAATCCTGTTTGTTAAAACATTGATCACAATTAAAAATTCATCGCTTTAACATTCCACTCCATTGAAATTAAATTTTACCTAAAATTCCAAGCCTATAATTCACAGAGACAAATACTATGTTCTTTTTTAATAGATAATCTGGGCCATACTTTTTAAAACTATTAAAGCTTTTACAAAAGCTTCCGCCATGTATCCAGATTATGACAGGTCGAGTTTCGGTAAAGCTGTTTGTTGCTACATTTAAATACAAACAATCGTCTCCGCCAATTATGGCTTTTTCCAACTCATCAGATTGTGCTGAAACTTTACTGTCATCCACGGCAAGTTTTATGCCACTCCATGATTTAGGAGGTTGGGGTTTCTAAAAATTATTCATCAGTTACTCAAATCCACTTAATTACTGAAATAAGAATTTGTCGAGCTTAAAGTATTAGGAGCAGTAGTAACAATTACGACAATGTTCACATACGCCTGTTAATATATGTATTGGACATTATTCGTGTTTGATGAAGAAAATTGCAAAATTAATCTATCAAAGATCACTTAATTTATGCAATTATTTATCAACACATTTTGTCGAATTTTTGACTATTTAAATTCAAGATGAATATTTAAGAGTAAATTATGATTTTTATAAATGCATACGATACTTCATTTCATTTGTTCATCATTAAAAATTTACTGCAACGATAATTATCTCCATGATAGCATTGATAATATCAAATATAACTTCTAGATATTAAACTGCCAAATTGCCTATGTTTCAATTATTAAATTACGTCGAATCATTAAAATTACTATTAGTATTCAATCTGTATAATTATTACTAATAATTATTACAGAATTTAGTTGCACAAAAGGTGATCATTGCAAGTCCAATGTTATATTAAAAATATTTGCATAAATAAAGGTTTTCTCGATAAATCATTTGTTTTAAAAACTACTTTTTTATTTAATAATTTTATGTGGCGTAATGAAAATTCTCAACTGCGAAGAAATTGTATGGATTAGAATGTTAAGAATGATGAGAATCTAATATCTAATATATTTGTGGAGCTACTTACTTTAAACCTTAAATTTCCAACTGGAGGCTCAGCGAAAGGAATACCTCGGAAAGAAAAATATTTTCCTCCTTCGATATTATTTTCTATCACACCCCGTAATTTACCCTGTTTAACTTGAACAATTGGTCCATCCATCATACAATATTGTCGCAGTGTAGTCGCTGCTTTGTACAAAAGCAATAATCTTCTGTACTATAAAATCAATGTTTGAAAAAATATAATTATACATAATATTTATAAAATGATATTTGTAATATCTACTATAATATAAACTATTTTAAAATTAAATTAAAAATAATTATTTAAATATAACAATTCATTATGGCTAATTGACATCCACGTAGCAATAATTTAATAAAATAGAAAGATACATTAGAATCGATTGCACAAATATACTGAAAATAATACGATAATACCGTTCATTCTATTAAAATATTTACAAATATACATACAGCGATAATTAAAATTTACTAGTATATGTGTTATAAATGAAATGAAACATACATACATATGTTGAAAGACCAAGCATACCAAGAATTACATTATGTTTCATATTAAATTTTATTTTAAATATCAAAATACCAATCTCTTAGATCATTGAGTGTTATTTGCTAGTTAAAAATCCAATATTACAATAAAAATAATGTAAATTTTCGTAAATTTTCATTAAATAGAAATTTTTAGAACATTTAGCAAACGCATACGATTACACAAAAAGACATTAATTACATCGCTATTCTATATACATATACATATAGCTAATCTACATATTTAAATACGATTAAAATAGCAAGTAATTTTTAATTTGTTATAATTAGAATGGAATTATTAATGCTTTATTTCAGCTGAATGATAAGAAAAATTAAATTAATAAAAGTAAGGATTTTAGCAATGATTTGTATCATATTGAAGTTTCATTTTATAAAAGGAAAACGGCGATTCACATCTTACTGTTGTTTAATAATTAATTTCAGAGAACAATGATTAAGAAAAAAGAAAAAAATATAATCAATTATTATATTTGTAAGTATAGTGATTTTACTATAGTTCAAAAAACGGACGAATTTAGTTGGCGAACCTCAAAATAGTTAAATTATAAATAAATTAATGTACACAAAACGAATCATTTAACATTCATGTATTACAAAACTATTTTATTTTTGACAATGATTAATATTTTGAAAATTCAATTTTCACATTGGTAATTGTCGATTTATTTAAAATACCAAAATTAATTTTAAAAATTTCAAAAAAGCTAATTTTCTATCATACCTTTATAAAAAAATATTTTGTATATAATTTATTTCATATAATTGTTAAATTAATAATAAAACTAATAGTATAAATATCTTAATTAAAACATAAGTCCATTGATAATTGAATTTAGTATAGAAATTCTATTTATACATTAAAATTTATTAGTATTCAATATATAATCACATTATCTATTGTAATTTATAAAGTTGAGAGTGCAAAAGTTCACTAATCCATACATATTTTGTGCGTGCATGTCAAGGATTATTCGTAAATTCGTTTTAAAAATCAAATTCCATTCTTTACATGTGCATTGGTATGGCATTATCGGTGTGAAAATGCTTTAGTTTATATAAAAATCTAGTACTTCCAATAAAGATGTGCGATCCTTAATTGAAAGTATCACATTGCAGACTGAGAATTTCTATCCACGACGACGCACCCGGCATCTACAAAATCCTGTGCCCACAATTGTTTTTACGATGCAAATAACTTAAAAGCAAAAATATATAGAGACGTAGAATATTAAATAAAGGCTCTCGTTGACTTGGAACGTATAATATTACGAAATAAAGCGATGATAAATAATGTTATTTAGTATTTAATCATTGTGCATTAGTTTAGTTTGAATAATAAATGATAAAGTTTCTAATACCTTCGGTACTATACAATAGCTTTCGCAATCAATGTAACATTAAACTCCATTTGAAAGTATAATACTTATGAATACCTGAATTTTTTTTGTTCGAATTTTATTCTGGCTCCTTAGGAATAAAGATGCTTAAGAATTAATATCACAACATTGTATCTAGAATAGTATGACTATGGAAGAGACAAAGACAGACACAATAGCAAACAAGACGGCAGCCATGTCTGAACTAAGTAGTGAAACGACTGACGACTGTTACTCTTACACATGTCTGGTACTTGCAATAGTAGTGCTACCGGCGGCAAGAAAGAGAAGTTTGAAGGCAAAGCAACTATCAGCGGTCCATGGTGGAAACGAATATAACTGTAATTGATAATGTAGGTAACTACATATGCGACACCATATTGTTGTCAGGTTCCACTATATTAAGATTTGAAAATGATACGTTTAATATCATCAGATGGAGCGCAAAGTGTCTAAAAACTAAAATTTTCACATCTATTTGAAATAATCTCTAACTTAATATCGATGTATATATGAATATATATGTATCTCTTTACTTATTTATTCAATTATTTCATCGACTTTTCATTACATTCTTCGACTGTGATTTATTATTTTGGTGATTCACAATAGTTTAAGCACAAATTTTTTATGTTGCATCTATTTTATAGTCAATGAAATGTCGTCATTATTATAATTTCCTTGAGCAGCATGATACTCTGATAAAACTTCTTTTTTTTTTTTTTAAATTTTTTTTTTAAATCAACTCCATCTTTTAATATAAATTGTGCTGAATTGGTACAACAATAGATTGTATAATAATGATGTATGCAAAAATGTGAATAAATGTAACAAAAGTTGGATAAAAATCAATGTAATCGTGTTTCTCAATTGATAGTTTTTATTGAATATTTTAACCATTTGAATAAATTTTTGTTTAGGCATGCGTACTAGATGCATTTCCTATTCAGAGATGAAAGAGAATAATTTAAAATAAATGTATAGATAAAACTACAATTGCTAATATGTCCTCAAGTTCTTATTAACCTTATAATTTATTGGCGATTGCAATGACAACGATTAAAGATCCTCGTGTGAACCTCCCATTAGACATTGATGGTTTCTACCGTATGCTGTCAGAAAATTACCATCCATTTGCAATGAATTGTCAGATAAAATATTAATGGTACTGTTGCTGAGAAGGAATGAATAGAGAGTTATCGTTGAAATAACTTTATTCGTTTATTTATACTTAGAAGCGTTAAATTTATCTGTCACTCGATTCAATTATGTAAATCGTTGTAATTTAATTTTATAATATTATTATTAATTTACTTCACGATTGTGAAATCATAATGGTATTTTATTTAAAGTGGCACAATAATTTTAATGATAAATACAGTATATTGATAATTTAAAAATTTAGAAAATAAATTTATTTATTTTCAACGGCAATAAATTGGCAATAACTTTTTCAATGATTGTATCAGCTAATAATTTATTTTTCTATTAAAACTAAAAACGGAGATTATTGCAGATTTGAACACGTTGATTATTTAAAAATATTGTTTATGACGCCAAATTGTATTCTTATCAAAAAGTGTGTAGGAATTACCGTACATATGTCCTCAACATGGAATATTTCAAATAGCATGTACGATATAAAAATAAAAATTACACATATCAATAATTAAAATTTTAACTAATATTAAATCATATATAATATTAATTAATACAAATAGTCTCTTTAATCAAATTAACTAACTAGAATTACAATAGTGTATTATTTAAAAAAAAAAAAAAAAATTGAATTAAATACAGGAGTGTCCTATTGACAAATCTTAGATTCAAATTTAATCAGTTACGTCGATTGAAGAAATACGACGAATGTAATTACATTAAATATTGTTTAATTATGTAAATACTATTGTCGTGTAATCTCAGTGAAGAAATCAAGTAAAGCTTATTTAAAATTTACTAATTAAAATTAACCAATTTACTAAAGATACTTGAAAAGGATTTTTAATATCGAAATTGGACTTAAATAATTATGTAATTCGAAATTTTAACAAAAGATCAAATATATTACGAAAAGTCTCAGTTTACTGCTGCTGAGCATTATTTTTTAATTTTTTTTATTTTGATATCCGTTACTTATATATTATTTTAATATTAATTATGTTCGATACGTCAATATAATTTCAATGTTAAAATTATCGAGTGCCATTTCAAAACTTTAGCTATTAAATCGTAGAAAAATGAAGGATTTTTTATTTAAAAACACTCTCTTGTGGAAAATTCATAGTTAAAATGCATGAAATAGCGGCATACATAATTTGCATGCCACACCTGTACCAACGCACAACACATGTATAAAAAAACAAGCAACTATTACGAACGGGGGTGAAAGTAAAATACTAATGAGATATTGATATGTGTCCTAAGATTATAATATTAAAATTTTTATATAATTTCACTAAAATTCATCGACTATTAATCTTCGAAAGAAAGATTTATATTAAAGTTCCTACGTTATAATTCTTAACATCTACATACGTTTAGGAATATTAACGTTTTTACGCAGTAGACCAGGTTTATACTATTCATTAGGTACGGATATTATCTATGATTTATTCTTCCATTTAAATACTTAAATTTATTGGTTAATATGTTACGCTTGTTATCGCACGGTGAATTAGAATTCAGATGTTGTAAATATTTACAAGTAGCAATTAATTGCGATCCGATGATATTTGATTTTTAACAATATCGATATTATTTGAAATGTGAACTTAATCTCGCAAATAACAGGATCAATGAATACTTGCAATTATTTTAAATTGCACAACACTAGTTTTAAAAATAAAGCTTGAAAACTGTCCTGATTATTAATATTTATTGAACAATTTGAAAATTTAAGAAGAATATTGTTTACACGATGCCATCGTAAAAGATTAATATCTTATGAAATTATAAAATTTCGTTGAAAAAATTTTTCGTTGAAAAAAAAAAAATACATTGATATTAAATATAATTAAATTTTTACTCTTTATTTAAATAAATATTTATTAAATTTTTAAAAATTGTTCTTTTAATTATTATTTAGCAGTATTTATGTTCAATTAATGTTCGCGATGTTAATGGTAAATTTAACTATCAGTGATATATAAATTAATGTTAACTTATTGATGAATAGAAATTCAATAATATTTCTACGTTAATTCGTCAATATTGTTTAAATTCCGATAGTTTCACTATCAAACAGACATTGATGATAATTTT